TGGAGAGGTGTCACCCTGAGGCTGGGGCCAGATGTGGAGAGGTGTCATCCTGAGGCTGGGATCAGATGTGGAGGGTGTCACCCTGAGGCTGGGGCCAGATGTGGAGGGTGTTATCCTGAGGTTGGGGCCAGATGTGGAGATGGAGATGGGGCTTAAGATTTTCTCTCAAACCTTCCTTCGGGCGGGGCTGCTGGGAGAATTTTATACTTGAAAATTATTAGTTTTAATTCCTTTCTTTTAAAAAAATTGTGTCTCTGTGTGTGTGTGAGAGAGAGAGAGAGAAAGAGAGAGAGAGAGAGAGAGAGAGAGAGAGAGAGAGAGAGAACAGGCATACGCATGTCAGCAGAAGACAACTGGGCAGTCGATTCTCCCATTTTACCATGTGTTCCCCATGTACCTTTTTATTTTAAAGATTTGTTATTGCTTTACTTAATGTGCACACATGTGTGCCAGCGTAAGAATGTGTGCACTGCATCCCTGCGGGTGCCCATGGAGGCCAAAGGACCTTAGATTCCCTGGAACTCGGCTTACAGAAAGTGTGAGCCACCAGGTAGGTACTGGGGACTGAACTTGGGTCTTCTGCAGGTACAGCAATTATTCTTAACCACTAAACTGTCTCTCCAGGACACATGTACTTCTTTTCTCATCAGCCTCTTGTGTATAAGACTATACGATGACATCTGTGTAGATATGAATTCTGGACAGCTGCTCAACCCTCCGAGCACTGAATATGCTCCTGATACAGATATCTTTAATTGCATTGTGGGTGTCTTTCTGAAAAATTGTTGTAACTTTATAAACCATGCTTTCTCTGTGATAGGAAAATGGTATATTTAAAACAAATTTTATAAATTTTAACAAACTATGCTTTAAATGTGGAGGGTGTCATCCTGAGCTGGGGTCAGATGTGGAGGGTGTCACCCTGAGGCTGGGGTCAGATGTGGAGGGTGTCATCCTGAGCTGGGGTCAGATGTGGAGGGGTGTCATCCTGGGGCTGATTAAAAAAATGTTAAAACTTCAGTGTTCAAATATTTGTTGAAGGCTGTTTACCTAGGATTTTTTTTTTCTGGGATCATCTCTAAACAAGGCACAGTGCTGCTCGGAAGGCCAAAGTAAGACAGCAAATAAGGGAGGACTCAGGAAGTATAATGTAGTCTATACCCTCAGAGGGAAGAGCAGTCCAGGAAGGACCACTGAGTGCAGGAGATGGAACAGGCCTTATGTGGATGGGATTCTGTTCCCTTCCAAATGTTTTCCATTCAGAAGGAAATGGGGCCCTTGAGAGAAGGTTAGGTCAGAGAGCCAGCTATGTGCAGCTAAGCCCAGAGTCTCCTAATCTAATCTTGTCCTGTGTCAGACAGGATGCAGCAGGTGGGCTTCTAGTTCACTCCTGGTGGGGCTCCGCCTTAATACAAACTCCCAGGATGGAAACTGGCCATATATAACTTATCTGATTCCTTCCTAGGAATAATCCTGACTAGAGTTGTGATTCAAGTTATCCCCAGCTGATTAAAATACCAATCAGAAAACTTTAAAGATGCAATGGAAAGTCTTTACCATGCAATCACCAAAAATCATGTGTTTGGATATGAAAATATTTTTGTTTTGTTTTCGAATGTTTGTTTTTGTTTGTTTCACAGCACTGGGATCAGATCCAGGGCCTTGCACCTGCCAGGCAAGAGCCTCACCGTGAAGGTACCGACCCCCCATCAGTGCTGGAGAGGCAGCTCGGCGGTCATGAGCACTTGCAGAGGCCCTGGGTTTGGTTCCCAGCAGCCACCGTGCTCACAAGCATCTGTAACTCCAGTTTGGGGGCACTGATGCCCTCTTCTCAATCTCTGGGTCACTAAGAATGCACTTAGTGCATATATATACATTCAGGAAAAACACACTTATACATAAGATAAACAATTTTAAAAAACTGACACAAAGAAAATAATTTTTTTAAAAGGCATTTTCTACCCCCACTCACGTTATTTAATAATATTTATTGGTGAGATAAAATATTCACGAATTGTAAAAGATATTATAATAAAAAATATATAGCTATCTTTAAAAGTTTCTTAACAATTATTAAAAAGAGTAAAAAAGTTCAGATAATATTCAAAATGACAAGGACTGCTGGATTAAGTACACATTTTTGAAAATACTTTTAGACATTTTGCTAGCTTTTGTGACGATCCTCTAGAAGGTTGCAATAAGCATTAAGTTATGTTTGGTAGTTACTACGGAAATTGAGAGAATGACCTTCTACGGTCGCCCTTCACATCCAGCTTCTCACAGCGGCTGCATCCTGGGGGAGAGGCTCGTCCTCGAACTTGCTATTAATATTTCCTTAGCAGTCGGTGCGTTCCTAGGTGAGCGCTCCAGACCCATCTCACCCTAGCGTCTGCCCATCAGTGACCCCTGTCGTTTTCAGCTTTGTCTTAGAGGCTCATGTTTACACATACTTACCACAAATCCCTTTGACTAGCTGAACTTCACAACTAACACATTAGAAACTCTTAAGTGTCTACGACGCCAAAATGAAGAGGCTAGCATGTGGTCTCGAGCAAACACAATGCAGAATCGAGAGAGCGTTCCACATTCTCCCACTCTCAGAGGGACGGCACACCCCTGAGTCTATGGGGATAAAACCCTGCTCCTTTAGCATAGGGGGCTCCTGTGGCTGATGATGGTTGAAAAGCTCTCTGGGTGGGGGCGGGAGGGGGCGCTGGTCCATAACAACGGCTCCACTCCGGCTCCTTGACTTCCTACAAGTGCTCAGAATGAACTGTGTATCCTTCTTGCGTTATTTTCCATGCCAGAGAAACACTGAGGAAGGAAAGGCTAACTCGGGACCCAGTGGGGAAACAGAAAGTGTGTGGCTGAGGTCTGGTCGTCAAGGCTCTCCCAAGCCCTCTTTCTGTTAGGCCAACCTCGTTAGTCCATGCTAGGGTGAGAGGGACGTTACCTCCGATCTACCAATCCGATCTATGTTGGAAATGTCGTATATATCCGCCACCGCCGCAGTGTCCACACCGCCGGTGCCACGCTTCTGGAGCCTCAGGTTCTCCAAGATCTTAGAAAAGCGTGGGTCCTAGAAGGGACATTGTTGCAGTTGTGAGCAAAGACGTAATAAGGGGCAGGAGCGCTTAAATATTTACAACATACTTGGACACACTGGCTGGAACGCTTAAACCTTCCAATAATCTAATGAAGTGGGTATTATTTTCAGCCCATCAGAGCCCGTTTTCTGGTGCTGGAAAGAAACGTAGCTCACCAGGTACCCTACAAATAACAGAAGCCCTTTGGGCTCCCAACTCAGGGGGAGTCCAAGAGCGGGGAGCTGGCCCTTGTGGCATCTGCTGAGGGCATCCTTGCCACACCATCATATTACAGGGCACCACACGGTGGGAGAGAGCTGGTGTGCTAGCTTAGATCTTGCCTCCTGGACTGTCGCTAATCTCGTCATGGAGGTCAGAGCTACGGCCTCAGCAATCCCCATTACCTGCTGAGGTTATACATGCTATTGACATGAATTTGGGGACTAAGTCTCTAACATATAAGCTCCTCAGGAACAATTGAAACTATACTAAGCCTTACACTTCAAATGAGCAAACGTCTCCAGAGAAATTAACTTGCCCAAAGTCAGAAAGCTAGAAATCAGCAGAGCTGCCACTCAATTTGGGGCATTTGGCTCCATGTTTATCTTCATATAAATATACACATGTATATTTGCCTGTGGGTGCCAACTTTTGTATGTTTGCCACTCACCTGCACACTTGTTTCACTGTTATAATTAAAATCATGACGTTAAATCACTTTTCTCAGCACTGGAATTTTTAATGACAAAAACTCACATACCTTTGTCTTGGTAGGCGGCACATTTTTCTAAGCTTGCTTACGCTTCCTCGACGTACTCTGCGTGCTGTGGCAGAAATGCCTAGCTCCCAGTCTGGGTCCTTTACCCTCTGCCCAGCAATGGAGCTGAAGACGCAGCTGCCTGAGCTCTTGCCAACAGAATGAGCAGAAGTGTGTGTGCCACCTCCTTCCTGACACCTCAGACCTCACTGTGGACATGCCTACATGTGTTCTCCCTACACCTTAAACCTCGTCATGGACATG